AAATATTATTATTTTTAAGTAGTGATGAATGAGAAAGCATTACGGAGCTGTATACTTGACTGTATGTATATAAATAATATATATATATATATGTGTGTGAATATATATATATATATGTACATAAATATATATTCTTAAGAGACACATTGGTTCATGTGACAGTCTTTTGTACTCGCTCTTATACGAGTTCTTTTTAATATATAATACTCGAAATTCAATTCTTCAAGCCTGCTATCTTTGCATCATCTGGTTCGATTCTATTTTGCAATTGACGAATAGTTAATCTTTCCTGATTGTGGCAAACAGACCATAAATTTGGCAAATACTTCGGTTCCATAGATAAAAGAAAATGTTCCCTCCACATACGTTCCAATTCTACCAATCCACCTTCTCTTTTTTCAAAATACTGAACCACCTAGAAACAAAAATGTGTAATATTACATGAAATTTATTAATACAAGATCAATAACCATTTTTGTAACTTATACCTTCAAGCCGTGAGGATCACATTTAGTTTGGTTACAGTTAGAGATTGAAACCAAATCATTTTTTAATTCTTGATTCAAAAGATCAAGAAGAAGTGGAGTAACTTGTTCATGACCTGTACATTCCAGTATATAATGTTCCAATTCTTTCCGCCGTACGTCGGGTAATGTTGTTCCTTCTTTTAATGCTTTAATAGCTGAACGCAGTTTCCTCCAATTATTTACATATTTATTGCGTGAGTGTGTTAATGGATCAGCCAGAGGAGCATCGCACATGTCTGCCAGCTTTCTTTTGAGCTGCAGATCATGATAATTACTAACTTCGTGGCATGTTGGACATAATAATAAAATATCATGTGACTGATGTGCCTTCATCACCACTGAAAAATATGTACCATATTTTACTATCTTAAATACTTTGTAATGTTAAGTTATATGCTTTTTTGATAACTCACATGGAAAATATTTGCGATACTCTCTAGGTACTACATTTTTTCTCATAAATTTTTCTAAAGTTCCACACACTACACATTGATTAATCTTAACTTGTGTATAGTACTGCCCAACTTTTCCGAAAGCACGTCCAGATGGTTCAAATTTTAATCTTACAGTAAATGGTTCCTGTTCAATTACATCTCCCAACCCTTTAGTAATGTACCATTCTGCTTTCTTACGATCACAAGTACATAATATTTCTCCATCTGGTGCTTGCAAATAACAATTGTGATAAAGAGGTTTATTTCTTGTGGGTATACTGTTGGTATGTATAATAAGGTTACTTGTTTTCAAGTTTTTTGTAAATATATTAGGATTACTGTTTTTAGTATTTTTATAATTAACCATAGAGCGCGTTTGGCGAGCATTGAACCTAAAATAAATAATTGCACAAATCGTTTTCTATATATTGAGACTTGTAACAGAGAAAATGAAATTGGTTTTACATAAAGAACATCTTATTACCTCGTATCGATTATGCCATTAGGCAAACAATAAAATTGCATATTTATGTTTTTATTACATATACATTTTATATACTTTACAAAAGTTTCCCATAAAGAGTACTTTTCCTTTATTCTTTGCACGATCTATAAAATATGAGAAAATTCAATTATTGTACAAGCTGTCTGTGAAAGTATTAGAATCATTGTAAAATTATTATATTTCTACCTGGTCATAAATAAGAACAGACGCAATTGCATCACAAGCAGCATATGCTACTTGTTCGTCTGTAAGAATGTCAGCATTCCAGTTGCCACATCTTACTTCTATTAATTTATCCATCTCCAAGCCTAAATATTGTAAACCCATCGCAGCCAAGCTCTTCGGGCTTGGTAAATTTTCGTGTTCTGCTAGTGATCTTAAATCAAGTGTACCGCAAACTCTGCACCCATAATCTGCTATTATTTTTTGTCCATCTTCATATGGAGCAACTCCAACTTTAAGAATACGTTTGCTTGCCAGTAATTCCTAGAAAATTTCTCTATTTTAATTAATTGATAAGCCTCATACTCTATAAAGTTAAATGGAAAACATCTTACTTTTAATCTGTGGGGAACATATCCAATTTTACCAATGCGAAATAAACCGCATACTCCATTATGTGTGGCAAGTTGGACTAGAGAAACAGGTCCTTCGTTAGCCCATTCACAATCAAAACCCAATACATCATTGGATACATTGCTTTAACATTAAATAAATATAATTATATATTATAACATATATCATATAAGATTGCATAAATATAAACTAAAATAAGAAATAATTGAACAAAAAAAGGAAGAATGTCAATATAGCTAATACCCTGAGCATACATAGAATGTAATATAGCTTAGAAAAAAATGTAAATAAACATTACCATGTACTTGACACTCATAACTCAAATAAGGTACAGGCATGCTACTCAACTTACCGACTAATGAGTTGAATGGCATAATCACATTTCTCTGGAGTATCTGCTATAACTACTTTATCCAATGTGATAGTAACATCTTTTCTCTTCTTATTTTCCCATTTATAGCTTTTATTCTTGATACTTTGACAAAAATATTTGACGCTTTCAAGCACATTCTTGCGGTACTTGGAGGCCAATAGTACAAGACCTACTGTTACACATACAAGAAACATATTGTTCTTTGCAGGATGCATTAATCGTAAAGATATAGTTTTATTTTCATGAAAGTTAGTATTAAAAATTTTATATACAATTGATTTTCTTTGCTTTAATAAATATATATATATTCTGTATGTGTTTGCGTGTATGTGTATGTATAAATATAATATACATATATATATATATAAATATAAATATCCGATTTTTTGTTTACATATATTTACATTAATAATTGAATAAATTACATAAATAAATTAGTTAAATTCACTGTTATGTCGAAATACGAGAGTTATAAATTGATCGATCGTGAATAACTAGACAGTTGAAAAGTAATAAGGACAAGAAATTCCACGTAAAGAACGTTTCAATAATGAAATTATGAAAATTATTTAAATAATCGCGCGAAAAGTACATCACGACCTTAATTGTTAGAATGAAATTATTAATCGAACGAGGTTCACGGCAATCCCGGTAGCTATTGAACAAACGGCCGACGTACGCGGTCACAGATATCACACGCGACTGCGATATGTTTACCACGCGCGATTACCGTAATCATTATCTTCCTAATTACTTTGTTTCTCATACACTCACTTCGATAGTACGTTCTTCATGCTGATTGGTTGAGTCCTCTCGGTGTAAAATTCTCATGGAAAACATCATTCGTTTTTCTCAAAATTTTCCAGACAGTTACGTGCACTTGAAAAATCAAAGGACCGGTCGTAGAATCGTATACCTCGTAAAATTTCGTTTTTTCAATTATTTATATTTGTACCAATACTTTATTACGCGTCACTCGAATATACCACATTTTATACGAATGTCAAAAAACACATAAAATATATAAATTATATAAAGTTGCTTGTGTGTTTCTTGTATTAATGAAAAAAGATTCGTAGTAACATACGCAAAAGCGTATAAAACAATATATCAAAAATTAAGTATGGCGTTAATCCTATCAGCTGATATCGTCTGCTGGAATGACGAATTGTAGTTCAGTTTCTTGGTTAAACGGTGTCTCTTTAATTGTTGTAAAAACAATTTCTGCTCTGATGGTTATTCTTATAAGTTAATAGGTTTATCAAATTCCGATAAAGGAATGGCTGTTTTAATGACGCAATGACTGTGTCAAAGTTTGTAATGGTGAATATATTTGAAAGACAAGAACTCGATTGAGTGCGTCACTGACAGGTGGTTCAGTAATGTGGGGAAATAGATAGAATTACTGTAAGAGCGATCTTTTACACGATCGGCGACGTAAAAGAATCTGCCGTACAACAAGCGGATTCGGTTGTGATGAGCGACTCCGAACAGCGGCAATTGCATGTGCCTTATAGAGAATATCATAGCCAGAATAACACTAACACGTCTGCTCTGGTGGAAACTGATGCATTGGTAGATCTGTCGATTACATCTAACAATTGTTTACCAGTGAACAGCAACGAGTGCCCTGAACTAGTGCCAGACGTCGAGTTTGTTCCAAACCTGAGCAACGAACAACCTATAGCCATTGATTCCCCTGGAATTGACCGGGAGAGCCAGCCTCTCCTTGGTCGGTTAGAGCTGGATGTCACGTTCAATCGTTTTCCTGGTTTGTAATTACATTTTATAGTTGTAGACCAATGGATTGTTTCTTGTTTACCTCTGTTTGCATACATAGTAAACATGTGAATTATTTCTAAATATATTACAGATGATCCACAGTTCTCAGAGTTGGTATGGCAAGCTGAGTGCGCTATAGACAATGGGATCTTTCCCGAAAGAATTTATCAAGGGTCTAGCGGCAGTTACTTTGTAAAAAATCCTTCAGGGGTAAGGTATAAATGCTCATATCGAATTCTGATTGGTAGCATACAGTAGCAAATTAATATTTTTCAAAGGAGAAACATCGAGATGCCGTTCTAGTGATAAGAATAACAAACTCTATAAATTTTCAGAAAATAATAGGTGTATTTAAACCAAAAGATGAGGAACCTTATGGAAGATTGAATCCAAAATGGACAAAATGGATGCACAAACTTTGTTGTCCTTGTTGTTTCGGAAGAAGTTGTTTGATACCGAATCAGGGATACCTGAGCGAAGCTGGTGCAAGTTTAGTTGACCGTAAATTAGGTCTCGGCATAGTTCCAAATACTAGAGTAGTTAAACTTGTCAGTAAAACGTTCAACTACCCACGCTTAGACCGTCAAAAAGCTCGGATGAAGCAAGCAATCATGGATCAGTTTCCTACAGTAGGCTCTCATTTTAATCGCATCGGTTTACCACCAAAAGTCGGCTCCTTCCAAGTTTTCGTAGATGGTTACAAGGACGCCGATTATTGGCTAAGACGGTGGGAAAGTGAACCTCTATCGCCGCGTCTCGGTAGGGAGTTTCAACTTCAGTTCGAGCGCTTAGTTATTCTGGACTATATAATCAGAAACACTGACCGAGGTATCTAATGGTTTATGAGATATCATTACCACCGTAGCTTTAGTTTGTAAATGTATCAATAATATTTCCTAAGGTAACGACAATTGGCTAATTAAGTATGATAATATTGTGGGGAAGAACGAGTCGGAACAGGGTGAGGTGAAAATCGCCGCAATAGACAACGGATTAGCTTTCCCGTTCAAACATCCTGATTCTTGGCGTGCCTATCCTTATCATTGGGCATGGCTGAGTCAGGCGAAGCAACCTTTCAGCGAGGTAACGCGGGAGCTCGTGTTACCCCAGCTCTCGGATCAGAATTTCGTGCAAGACCTTTGCGACGACTTGTATCAATTGTTCAAAGTAAGTCAAAAAAATATCACAATCACCACGACATTTAACGACGAGTTAAAGGTAACACTGACTTGTTTTTTCTAGCAAGATAAAGGTTTCGATCGGCACCATTTTGACAAACAAATGAGTGTTATGCGCGGTCAGATCTTAAACTTGCAACAAGCTTTAAAGGATGCCAAAAGTCCGGTACAATTGGTTCAGATGCCTGCTGTGATCGTTGAAAAGTATTTATTTAATCGTTTATATCTCTTAATGAGTACACACCGATGAACGTATTAGCTGTGAATTCAATTCTACCGTTTCAATTTACCTCCACAGGGCCAAAGGGAACGGAGCACCAAGATTATTCTCATTTTCTGACACGTTTACACAGCGCTTCCAGAACAAAAGTCCCTTCTTCTCTTGGTGTTGAACGGATGTCTTTGTTGAACGCTTAAAAGGACATCAGTCTTGTGTGTCGACTGACAAAAAAGCTACTCAGTGTATCGCAAATATCGTCTTATTGTTTGATTTATCTTCTCTTTCTCTCTCTCTCTCTCTCTCTCTCTCTCTCTCTCTCTCTTTCTTTCTCTCTTCTCTCTTCTCTCTTCACTTTCACTGTCTCTCTTAATTTTCCTCATTGCTATCTCTGTTTAAACATTAAGTCAGCGACTGTGGTTAATTTATCCTGTATCTAAACTATTTCCGTTCGATTGAAAGATGAAACATCGGTCATAGTATGAATTATCTTGTATACAGTAAATATATGTAATGTTAAAGCAAAATCTTTCGATATGCTTCGCGTGTAAAAGAAAGGCATGGGAAAAAGTGACGAATGGAACATAGACGACGCCTTGTGTCTGCTACGTGTTGTCGTGACCAACAGTAATCCCCAATAGCGAGATACGAATATGTATTAATTATGTATTCATATTGTACGTTCTCCGCGTCTTCCGTATACACCGGTAACTCGTGTCGATATCATGTTTACAATCTCGACACGTTCATCTAGGTATTTTCGCTAGGTGCTGCCGAAAAAAGAAAAAGAAAAAGAAAACAGAAAAACAGAAAAACAGAGAGAAAAAACACCTCCCCGACGACGGATCTTAAAAGTGAACTGTGATCTAATAGTTAAAGGCCGTATATCCTTATTCTTTAACACATTCCACGCAATCATATTATATTTTTAACCGACAAATATAAAGAAATAAATTTACTATTGGTGGCTAACACGGAAGCTTGGAATTTCTGTTAACATTCTCGTCGGTTTCAGTTTCAATTTACAACGGCCAATCGAGTATACGCGATATTCAATCGATAAACATATATACATGTATATACTACGCTGTCGATCATGTGTTACAGATTTTACGTTGTTTCCGTTGAAATGCCGTTAACCGGAGAGACCAACCTCGAAGATGCTAAATTCTCTGGTTCGCTGATCACCGCTGAATAACAGGCGTCCAGAAGCCACTTGTTGGCCGCAATCTTATCGTTTCGTATCATTGTACTTTCACGCGTATGTTGTTACGCATAAACCGTCATCTCGTCAAGGACAAACACGATTGTTGCCTGTGCGTCGTTCATGCGACAAATAATCGTCAGAAATAGAAGAACAACATGGAGGTGGTGGAGATTACCAAGAAGCGAACGCCATCGTTACCACCTCGTAAATCCTTGGAATGCAACGTTCGGGTAACAATTGCAATTACTCCATCATTAACACATTCGCTACCAGCACGTGTTCGTCGCGGCCGTAATCCTATACTTTGCATAATGAGCGTGATATTAATCCTACAGATATAGTTACTGGAAATTGTAAACATATTTAAGAACTCAATGGCTCGTTTCTGTTTCAAATCTAATACTCTACAAGATTGATTAGATTAAAGAAAATTGAAACGGTCACTGAAATGAACGCTGGTAGCGAAGTTAACACTAGGTTTACGCATTTATTGTACACTTAGAATAGTTCTATCCCTTGATTTCTATATTATTTATATTAATGTTAGTTATAAAACCTATTGATTGATATTTTATTAGAAAATCAAGAATATATCTAGCGAAACAATGTTACAGTGCAAAGGGTTAACACTAGGTTTATTTAGATTGTGGAAACTGGAGATTTGATAGTAGGTAATTGGGGTACGTGTCAGTGTGATCAATCAAAATCGGCGTGAACATTTACAAAATATTTCTAAAATCCAATATGCGTCGATTTCACGCGTTCCGTAAACCTAGCGTTAAAGAAAACACAATTGAAACCGCCACCGAAATGAACGCTGGTAGCGAAGTTAAATAACCCTTCGACTTCGACGATCAACCGATGTTTCCGTTTCAGTGTACCAAGCGTTACGTGCAGCCGCCTCGAGTGAAGTCGTTCGCGCCTGAGACGAAGTACTGTCCGCCCTCGAGATCATTGGACGCGAACAGCACCTACCACATGTCCTATTTGAACGTGGACCACAGAGACGCGTGTCGCAGCCGGTCCCAACCGATCCGACCCACCCCCGCTCTGGGGAAATTCGAGGGGACGTTCTCCGACGAGACGACCAGCAAACTGAGTTACAAGCCCATCGGTCGTGTGCCGAAATCGAGGCCGATCCTGCCGAAGCAAAGGTAACTCGGAGGGCAGATGGTCGGGTACACAGTCCTCTCTTCTCTTTCCTCAGGTCGATGATCGGGACAGGTCGCATGGACTGCGTGACCACCGTCCGTCAGGATTTCGCTGAGAAGCATATCGACAGGCCGGAGGTCATAGTTCCTTGCGGACACATCCGGTTGAGTACCGGCAAAGTGGACGCCGATACCACCGCGAGGCTGTCGTACGCGGACCCAGGCTCCACGGAGCGAACGGTTAATTTCAAACCGATCAGGGTTTACCGTGTGCCCAGTGAACCGGTGCATCACGAGACTACCCAGAAACTGAGCTATCAGCCTGTTCCGGTTCCAGAGAGAGAGTCTTGCCCTTGGCGGGTCAAGCCGACCTATAGGTACCAGGCTAATGGCGGGTCGTGGAGCGTTAGCCCTTTGCACTTGATTTTCAGTTGAGATGTTCAGTGCTTTCTAATTGGATGTAGAAGGATTCCTTAACCCCTTGACGTATTTATTTTTGCTCGTGTAACATTTTACATTTTTTCATTTGGAGATGATGCATTGATAATAGCGAAATAGTTATGTGCTTTGATCCGTGGATAATGAACATTAATTGTTGTCAAATTAGTCTAGAAATCTTCACCACAGGTCTCACTCATTGTACAGCAAGGGGTTAAAATGAATTTATTAACCTCTTGGCCTGTGATTTATTTCTATAACATTTTACAATTTAGAAGAAATGCAAAGTCTATTCTACTTGAAGCAGAAACTTCATTTGAAGATAAACTGATAAGAATAGTTTGCTTTGAGGGTAATGAACAACATTGACTGTTCAACTGCTCCAGAAATCTTCACTCATTGTCAAGGGGTTAGTAAATACCAAGGTTTATAATTCCACTGTGTCAGATCACCTGAGACTCGCCTCTCCAGTGCAAAGCGTTAACGCGAGGGGGCCGTTTAACACGTTGAACACAATTTCATAGAGCAAAATCCACAAAATGGAGAAAGTACAATAAATCATTGCACGTTCATCAAACTGAATGTCACCGCAATGGATAGCACTTATAGAAATGTTTGCGAGTAATCATCGTTTAACTGAGCGAATTATATTAATTCAATTTACTTGGGGCTCACCGGTGACCGGCGTTCAACGTGTTAAAGACCCCCAGACACAGTGATGTGCGGACAGACCACCTACTCCGAGAGTTACGCGGAGAACGAGCCCTGCACGGAGAAACCGATCAAGCCAGCCAGTACTCCACTGTTCCCTCGCGACGGCGAATTCATCGGCAGAACGATATACAAGGAGAGTTACCTAGAATCGAACGGCGCCGATCGCGTGCAACCGTTCATCCCCTGCAACAGCATCTCCAAACCGGACGGCAAGATATCAGGAGAAACGACCAACAAAGTACGCCTCGAAGCGTCTCCCAGCGACTCGGTGGACTGTCCTCGCGATTCGTTCGATTGCAGTTGAGTTATCAACCGGTCCGAGCCGACGAACGTACGACGCCCATACTGCCCCGGCGCAGGAGCATGATGGGAGACGGTCCGATGCAATCGGAGACCACCAGTCGCCGCGACTTCGCGCCGAAGACGACCGCCAGGCCGGAGCCGATCGTGCCGACCGGTAATCTCCGCAGCGCGGACATACCGATGCTCGACACGACCACCGCGAGATCATCGTACGCGATACCGGGCCCGACGCAATGCGCTCACAGTTACAAGCCTGTCGTTCGATACAACAAGTAAAAATACGAAACGTGGCCGCGATAAACGTAGAAACCGATCGTCGGGAAACTTGAACTAGCTATCGTTGCAGATTACCGTACAAAATCGATTCAGAGACTATCAGCAAACTGTCCTATCAGCCGTGGACTCCGTCCGTTAAGGAGAGCGTGCCATGGGCGGTGAAACGGAAGTATCAGCCGCCTACTGACTCTATGTGTACAGACACTATCTATCAAGCTAGTTATCCGGCGCCCGGACACTTTGAGGAGATATGCGAGGAACGCGAAGATTGTTTGGCGACAAATGGCTCCGAAGTTTTTCACTAGAAATATTTCAATATTTTCTGATGAGACGAAGACGATATTTAAAACCAACTCGACGAGAAATTCGAATTGACGGACAAGCTATTTTATGTCAATATTTCCTAGATTGATGCATTATATGAAGTATAGCCTACTACCATCAAATTATTCGATTCTCCACGCATCCGAATTTTGCACTAAGGAATGACAAACGACTGTTTCTAACCCTTTGCACTCCGAAGTTTTTCACTAGAAATATTTCAACATTTTCTGATGAGATGAAGACGATATTTAAAACCAACGAGAAATTCGAATTGACGGACAAAGCTATTTTATGTCAATATTTCTCAGACTGATGCATTATATGAAGTATAATATTGAATATCAACCTTTATAGCTTCACCGTAGAAAATCAAGTGACTGAGTCACCCCCCGAGTGCAAAGGGTTAAATAACATCGAATGTCAGAGAGAATATTTTTAATCGGAGCCTTGAAACAAGACTGAGAAGGGAAATTGTTCGAGTCGAATTAAAAGATATTTTATTACGGTACGTTAATAGACGAACGTGTCTCAATTTAGTCTTATATGTAGTATATACTATATGTATATATATATATATATAATGATTGCTGTATACAGGACGATGAATATAATAAACGTTTTATCTTTTACAAACAGTAAAATTGTTCTCGATAATAAAATAAACTCTAATCTTTGATAAAAAGATCAATAGACAATATTAACGTACACTTTTTTGAAGTTTAGCTTAATACGTACATACATACATACATACACGCATACACACATACAGACAGACATACATAGATACATACACACATACAAACATCCTTATTATGTACTATATAATATGTAATGTGTACTATATAATAAGTATAATGGGATAACGATGCGTATAATCCTACTTAAGACAAAACGTTAGCGTACATCGATGTTTCACATATGCGCAACAAGTTTATAATTTTCTATTTGTTGTTTTTCTTCTTTCACAGTACATGTACAACAGGGGAGGGAACGACGATTAGGATAAGAATAATTCGATGTACCTCAACCGACGACGGGAGAGCTCTTAAAGGACTAAAGTGAAAACATTTGACAAAGGACGCCTTTGTTCAGAAATTCATCATCGATGTTTCCCACTGTACGACGAAAGCGTTGCGCGTCGATGCGAGAGCAAAACGATCGAAATGATCCGGTGGAGAAAATACATGGGAAGGAACGATTTCCGCACTGTTCCAAGTATATCGTTTAAAAATCAGGGGAGGGAGTGGGGGGAAAGTAAAGAACATCGCCGAAAACAATTATATAATATACACGTACATATATAGTGTCTATATAAGAATCCTCAAAAAATATGACGACCATGGAAAGATCGTAAGGCACGTAGTTAGGTCACACGAATTGCACAACTTTAATAATCACTATACAAAGCTCTATATCCATAGGCGTTGCGCGTACCCCGAGCAACACAGGCTGCTTCTGTCCAGTTTCCGCCGTGGATCCCATCGATAAATTAAAAGCTTCTATATTCTCTGTGATACTCGCTATTTACAGAATTAGACGGAAAATGATTGTCACAACTTGCGCGTCGCACGTCTTATCGTGTCGATTCTACTATCACCCGACATTCTCTACGTAGACATTTCTAACGTCGTTATCGATTCTTCTCTCAGTTTCCCTTTCGATCAAATGAAACCGTTGGAGCGTCAAAATATACAAGAAAAAGAAGAAAAAGGGGAGGAGGAGGAATGAGAAGAAAAACGCTGTGACATCGCTCGACGTGGCCTGTCAAACAATTTCCTTTATACAAAAATAGGCTTGCAAAGTTCCATCGTGCAACGACACGATTATCTATTAATTATCTACTCGCGTGCCTTTTGCTCTCGTAGCCGCATACATCTTAAATATACAATGCCTACGATATTTTGTACCAACAGCTTTCCCGTTTCGTTTCAGATAAAAGCTCGACGACTAAAACGAGCAAAAGATCGAGGAGAAGTGGATGCAACGTACAAGAGACTGATAAAACATGGTTCTACGTCGTGAGAGTGCGTCGTTCAATAAAAGTTCCCATTAAAAATATTCAAAGTATCGTTAAAAAGAAACCAAACTGCCTGATATGTCAATGTAATGTAACGGAAATTATTACAATTACACACGTTTGAGTTTCGTTAATGAAATACAATGCGATTTTTATGAAATTCCCGATTGTACGTTAGAGAAGGAGGAAGAAGGGGACTAGACGGATAGATGCGGATACAATTGCAAAGATAGAAACGGTAGAGACAAAGGTGGAAACGGATAGCGAGAGACACACGTACCTATCTATATTGCACTCGAGACGAACCGATTAAAAGGATATATTTCAACGCGTTTAAGTGAACGTCGGGTCCGAGGCGACGTGACCAGTCCCTGCTTCTATCCCTCCCCCGTGAAACGATAGGCGGCGAACAACAACGCGGAGAGGGTGGGAAAAAAAAAGATGGCGGCGAGCAACGAACCTTCGCTTGTGCCAATGATACGGATAGCGTAGCCGGTGGAAATGAGGAAACATTACGGAGTCGCGATCGTCCCATCGTCGACATACCTACTGCGGCTTCGAGTTGTACGATTGTATGAGCTCGGAGAAGCTAAAGCCGTTAAAGTGGTCCAAGTTGAGATTTTCGTCGATCGAGGGCAGCTCACCGTGACCCATCAGCTCCACATAGTCCATGTCCGGGTTTGCTCGCCCAACGCTTGACTGGCCAAGGCCCGGAGCGTAGCTACCACAAATCAAAACACAACCCCAATCACTGGCATAGCAATGGATAGCATTCTCGTGCTAATTCCAAATATACAACGCGCGCGGTACAACACACAGTGCAACATCGGTACGCTACCGCCGATGCGCCGCGAGAAGCAATCTTTACTGATTTTTCGTACGTTCTCTAATTTTCTTTTGCCTGTTTTTTTTTTTTTTCTATTTGTTTTCCTTTCTTTTCCTTTTTCTTGCTCGTTTCGTCTGT